ATATAAAAGTAAATTTAGATACTAAAAAAAGCGCTCTTTTTATATTAATTTATGCGCTTGTTTTACGCCTTATTATATAACTACTAAAGCAGAAATTCTGTATTTATTTTAATAACCTCTTTCTAAATATACTAGTAGCTTAGTACCTCTTAGTAATAAGTATTTACTATATAGAAACTATATAAAAAAAGGCTATTAATATGTCTTTATAACTTTAACGCTATTTTATTAATAATAATAAGCTTCTCTAAGATTCTATAATAGTATAAGTTATTAATAATAATACTCTAGCCTTTATTTAGTCAGATAATAAGGCTATTTATGCTATTATAATTGCTTATAGCCTCTATTATATAGAAGATTAAATCTAATAAACGTGCAAATGCCTTAAAATCTTCTTTGAAAATTAATATATCCTTGACTCTGTATTTAAGAGCTTACTCTTTAAGGATCTCTTTATTCTAAAGGCTATTAATAACTATAACCATTATATAAAGGGGGTAGATTAAGCTAATTAGTTATAAGCAGTATTTACTTGCTATTATAAGCAAAGTTATCGTACACAGATGCTCTTAATCTACTTCCTTATTAATGTTGCTCATATTAATGTGTATTTGCTATAGCTATAGAGCTCTCTAACGCATATAGCAAACGTATAGTATACACATAATAGCTATAGAGAGTTCATAAAGGCTTTCTCCTCTTAATTACTCTATTTGAATAATAAAACCAAGGAGAAGGAGGATTCACACAATCTCTACCAACTATAGTACTTCAAAGACACCACAAACTCATACAAAAGAAGCCGGCGGACGATGTCAATAGGGAAAGCTTCATCCGCCAGGCTGTACACGTAAAAGGGCACCCAAACGCGCATTTGGAACAGATACTACACGCTCAGCTAATAATGGCATTTCTACGGCTATTTTAGAAGGCTCACACACTCATTATGAGTGCTCAAAGTGCCAGATTTGGCTCTGTATCGAAGGAGAGTGCTGGGCACAATATCATCACTCAATTGGAGTCAATTGCTAGATAATACGGCCTCAACTGGCCCAAATAGGGTGTTTATTGACATTTTGAGCCTCCCCGCAGTGATCGACAGCGTTAATTGGCACATTCTACACCCCTGTTCAGGTACGGAGGGGATAGAAAAGATTAAAAACAAAATAAGAAAAGATTATTACTTTAGATTTACATGTTGTCAGCGAGATCCTATTTCTGATACTAAAGAAAAAGTTTGTATCCTATAGGTAATCAACTCTGACAATACTTGTTGCATTATCTAATATAGAATATAGCATCTGTTCAGAAAATGAAACAAATATATCACCTTAGCTATACTAGTCAGGGCTAAGTGTAAGGTTTTGACTGGCAGAATAAAGAGCACTGGCAGAGCACTGGTACAACAACAGTGACTTAGATTACTACCACTGGTAGGTGTATAGATAACAGTAAACTAGTTTCTAAGCCCCTTAGTCTCAGAGGGCATTCTCTTTACTTAAGAGAAAGCCCTTGCAATCCCTATAACACAGATGCACTCATAACGGGATGTGGCCTCCACGCTTCGTAGCCCCTGCAGTAGTAACGTAGGACTACGGGATGTGGCCACCACACTTCGCAACGCTTGCGATAGTACTACGCATATAGCATACGGGATGTGGCCTCTGGCATACCTGCCTTATAGAGGGCACTTGGAGATGAGTCTTGGCATCATTGACAACTGGTAGGTGTATGGATAACAGTAAACTAATTCCTGCGCCCCTAAGCCTCAGTAGGCATTTCCTTTACTTAAGGAAAAGCCCTTACAATCCCTATATCACTAATGCACTTATAATAAGATATAGTCTCTACGCTCTGTAGCCCTTATAATAGTAGCGCTAGGCTATAAGATGTGGCCTTTGCATCTTGCTACGCTTGCAATGGCTGTACATATATAATAAATAGGATATAGCCATTAGTATAACTGCCCTATAGAGAAGGCCCTAGGAATAATGTTATGACCGCCAAGCACGGTGCATGTTATAAGGGCCAGGAGGACTTCAGTGGATTCTGCAGGTAGATAGAATTCCATTTATCCACTTCATCAAATTACTTGAGCTCTGCGGTGCTTTCCCATTAGAGAGATGATATTCAGGGCTATTTTTGATGAGAAAAAAAGTCTGACAAGACTTTCTTTGTGGGATGAATTTACGATAACGCAGTTCCCTTAACAAAACATTGCTTACTAATATTTGACTCTATGTGACCAATAAGTCAAATCAATCAAAATCGACGTCTGGTATTAGGTGAGCAAATCAAATGGGGGTCAAGATTTGATTTATTTGATTTGATGGATACACTGGAATTAGTCTTTCGCCAGCATGCCGATATCTCCATCTCTCGTTCCATGGGAGCCGTCGTGACGGTTGTTTTGTCTTTGAACTCTGCAACAGCGACCTAATTTTCTGTCCGAAATTGCCGACGTTCTGGGCCATTGTCCCCACCACAGAACTGGGCTGTCATTGTACGCTGTGAAGGGCTAGAGCTGAACCGTGAATTCTTGAGTGGGGAAGTAAAGGTGTGTGGGCGGAGGTGAAACGCAGCAAGAAAGGAAGCGGGCAACAAGGAGTAAACACCGACAGAAAAAGCGAACAGTAACCCGCCAACTAACTAACGGTAGTTACTGTAGAGAATGGGCCAAGGCCCGAGCCGTCCCCTTCCCCTTCCGGCGCCAAACCCCAGAAAAAGTTCGCATGCTCTCCCCTTTCCCCTTCTCCTCCTTTCCACCTTCCACCTGTCTTTGTTTCCTCCTCCTCGCAAACTAACGTGCTTCCCCGCCTCCACTTGCCGACAGAAGAGAGAGACTGGTATCACCCTGTTTCGCGCTAATGTCGGAAAATGAGGCAATCACTTTTCCTCACCGAGAGTGAGGTCCCTTTCCGGATTATGGTTTTGTGGTGATAGGCTTCTTGGTGTCTGGGGCTTTCTTGTGCGACGTGGCGGCGGCCTGTTGCACCATTCTATTGGTGTTTTTCTTTGGTGCTCTCCGGATGTCGGGCAAGTGTTTTCAACACAATCACACCCCTTTTTACCGTCAAGGAAATAATAACACATCTCCTTCTCACAGAATGAAGGCCACAGCGGATGGTTAAAGTAATGCAGCGAATCAGTAGAGCTTGAGATGGTGACAGTAGAAAATTATTCGTTTAAATTAGAAGCACAGGAGGTGTCTGAATTTCTGGGAGTGGGGCTTCATATATTCTGCGATGCGCTCCGAGTGAGTCTATTCTGCTGTGCGAGGCACAGATGTTAGATGGAAGAAATGAGACAAGACGAGTTGAAACAAAGAACGCCAGATAAAGGAAACCTTCCGGGACGAAATGAGGGAAATTCTCCAGAACAAAGTGGGTTGAGACAAAAGAACGCCAGATGAGGCAAACTCTCCCTGATCTCTCCGTTCCCCAGTTTGAGGAAAGCGTGATGGACAAAGGGACGCAGGTGATAGCTGCATGCAAGGTGCCAGACCTCTGGCCTTTACATACCCGAGACTAGAGTTGCGGGAAATAGTGCTAGACGGAAGATGTCAGATGAGAACCAATGTTCCAGATCTCTCCGTTCATCGTGGCTGCGACCAGAGTTTCGGTAGAATGCGTTCAGATGAAAGAATGCCAGATGAAAGTTCTAGCATCATGCCCCGAATCTGTAGTTTTTGTCGCCTGTCAGATATCGCTCCAGTTCTTCGATCGCATCTGTATCGTTACTTGGAAGAGATGCGTTGATTGTTAGATCAGACCAATCTTCCACCCTGGAATCTCTCTCTATTGGTGTGTTGAAACGTTGACACATTTCGAGTTCTGCAATAATTGCCATATCATCGTTTGACCCAGGACGGATGCCCACAGAATGAAGGGCCAAGTTATTATGAGCCATGCCAAGAGAATGCAGGTGTTTGATTCCATCTCTAATACCTTGTAGGTACAGATTCAAATCTTTTAGAGGCCGCATGTCAGCATCAAAGAGTAGCTTGCCTTTATGGTCGGGATCAACTACCAATGATAATGGCCGATAGTTGTCAAAACAGAGACCTGTAATATAACCATCTTTGACCTGACAACCGTGGTATTTAGCAATGTTGGGATGAGGATTGGATAACAGTAACTCGTTGTTCCGTGCTTCGCTGATAATTGTATCAGGAAGCAATTCTGGGTAGTTCGGATCGTACTCACAGTACCGAGGTTGCTTCACGTAGGTACCCTCTGGGAGGGGATCTGGGGCAATTGTTAAACCCTCTTCATAGAGAGGCCTCAATTGAGCCTTCGGGACCGGGATAACATCGTAAAGCTCTTCTAACTTGAGAAGTAGTGCAGTTGGACGAAATATTCGGACGGCTGACTTTCCTAGGTACGTTTCATCTCCGATGCTGTAAGCGACCAAGACGTACCCTGGCTCAACAAGCCCATCATTCCCCCATTGAGCCTCTATGGTGGCAGCTTCTAGAAACTTTGGTTTTGGGCGATCCGCCCTTTTGCTGGTTGAGATGAGAGTGCCCGTATTTGTAACGAAAGTCATTGTCGGGGTAGATTTCTGCAATGGATTTCTAGAGTGGGTTCTGGAGTGGGTTCTGGAGATTCGAGGCAGAGAGTTGGGAGAAAACGCAGTTCAAATACATTTCGTGATGGTTAATCATACAGACGCGAGGACAAAGCCTCAAATCAACCGAACCAAGGACTGACCAAATATGTTATGTAGAGGATACTGTGCATTGCGAAAGTGTTGCAATTCTGTTGATAACTAATCTTAATAGCTAGATTTAATATAATAATATAGAAAGCCACCTTAGCTGCTTATTAATATATTAAAGTACTCTTTTATAGCTTCTTTAATTTTAAAGTAGTTCTAGCCTTATTATAAGCTTATTTATAAGAACTTATAAGCGGCAAGTCTTTCTTATTATATATAAAAATATTATCTTTATTAGGCTAATCTTTAGCCTTAAAATTTATAATTAAAATAATGTATAAAGAAGCTTAAGATGTATAATTATAAGCTGTTTATAGCTTTATTACTATTTTATTAATATAATTTATATTTAGCTTGTCTTTAATAGTATAGAGTTAAGGCTTTTGCTAGCTTATCTTAATGCTTACTTTAAAACTAAGGTATTTAGTGTCTTTTTTCTGCTTATTAGTAGCTTTAGAGACATAATTTTAAGCTTCTAAT